AAACATCGATGAGAGAGAATCATGGATCAGCCGCCTCCCACACACCACCCACTGGGGATGTGCCTGCAACCAAGGCACATGCCCTTGCCCAGAATCGAACTCGGGACCCTTCAGTCCATAGGCCGGTGCTCTATCCACTGAGCCAAACTGGTTTTGGCACAAATCCTTTTTAAAGTAAGGAGGCCTATAGCTACTGGTCAACACCATAAAATGTGGAAGAACATACACTTAATAGACTTTTGTAATATTTTTGCTTGAGGCACGTAGGTGCTAGGAAAACAAAGATGAATAATACTCAACTCAATCCCTTGAAGAAAACAGTCTAAACATGAGATTATGAGTCAAGAGAGAAAATGATGGGAGGTAGATAGCTTGTTCCCAGGAAGTTCAGAGGGTGCCAGAACCTTGAGTTGTGCACTTCCGGGAAGGTCTGACCTTTAGCAGAGCTTGATTTTGTCAGTGTAAAGTTGATCAGTTTCTGAGGGACAGCCCTCTGCCTGTCTAAAGTAGCAGTGTCAATCAATGTAAAAGTTCAAAGGGAAGTTGTATATTTACATTGACTGCAGTATTGTTCAATATATTAGATCAATGATCTCCAATAGAAATATAATACTATCCATAAATATGAGCTACAGAAGTAAGTTAAAAATTTCCAGTAGCCATACTAAGACAAGTAAAAAAAACAAACAGGTAAAATTAGTTTCAATAATACATTTTATTTAAACCAGTATATCAAAAATGTTTAACATTTCAACATGTAATCAATATAACTATTACTGAGATGTTTCCCAAAGTCTTCAATATATATATGTTAATTCTATGTATTACATTCTATATATTACAAAGCTTCAAAATCTGGGGTGGATATACAGCACATCTCAATTGAGATTAGCCACATTTAAGTGCTTATGTGGTACATGGAGGTCTAGGATATCTCCTTATGAGAAAAAGGTAAATAGGAGGGAAAACTACTAATCAGAAGGCTCTCTGGGAACATAGAACCAGAATACAGATCTTGAAGGATATTGGCCACACAAACATGATGACCCTACCCTGATCCACAGTAGGGTATACCATTTAAAAATATATGTTTTTATTGATTTTTTTTTTTTTTTTTTTTTTTTTTAAGAAAGATAGGAACGGGGATAAGGTGGAGGTGGGAGAGAGAGACATTGATGTGAGATAGAAACATCCATTGGCTGCCTATTGCAGGCACTAAGAATTGTGCTCTGATAGGGAATTGACCCCGTGACCTTTCAGTGCACAGGACCACACCCAACCAACTGAGCCATACTGGCCAGGGGTAGGTTTTGGTGTTTGCTGTATTTAGCATGTCTTGTCTCAGAGGTACTAGACTAATACCATCACATTTTTTCTTTTGATTCTGTGTAAACTGCTGTTTTCTACTAACGTACTTAGATCTCTTGATATAGGTGGTATCTTCTAAGCTTCCTCATGGTAAAGATAGTCTTCACTTTGTCATAGGTTTTTATTTTATTTTACCACACTCCTCATAAACTTTCAGTTTGTTTATATCTATATGCGTTCATTGTTCTCTATTTTAGTCAATGAGTTAATAGATCCTTATGTAGGTGTTCAATCTGTCTTCAGATTTTCCCATTGGAATTGCTTCAAACTAAGCTCCTGTGTTCATTCATGCCCCTGTCTTTCTTTCAGCACTTCCTTACTTTCTGCCACTCCAAGAGGTCTCCACTTATGTTGTCCTTTCCTGCTCCAGCCCTGGAATCAGCCATTTCTCCAAGGAGCCCTTGAGAATGGGTGCGAGGTATGCCATTGCTCCCTCCAGACCTCTCAATGAACAGAGAATACAGGGTGGGACAAAAGTAGGGTGATAGTTATTCTTATGGAAAAAGACAGGCAGGTTATGATTATTACAATAGCTTTATTAACTCTGTTTCATGTACTCACAACTGTAAACCTGTTTTTGCCCCCTTCCCTGTCTGTGTGTATGTGTATACACATTTCCATATACAGATATACAAACAATATACACATATATTTGTTCATATCTATATTGAAAACCATTTTTCATGGTTTGTCAAGCTCAGTTCTCTCAGACAATGACTTCATTTGTTGTTTATAACAACTGCTAAAAAGGTCAGCTTTCTTTAAAGTCGTATTGTTAATTTTGCCATTTTTTTTCTTTTTTCTTTAATAAAGTTCCCCCCCCCAAAAAAAAATGTACAGCCGGTGAGATCTATTGTTCATGCATCTTCTCCAGGAGCTGGGGCGTCCCCATCTTTGGTGTTTCTGGTGTAAATCTCGTGAGCTCTGTGCTTTGAGACTAGTTTAATAAGTTTATTAACTAGTTGAATAAGTCCTTTCCTGAGGGCTCCTGAAGGGCCAAGGAACCACGAATCTTCAGCCTCTGGGAGACCACCGTGGGGTATCAGCTTGTAGTTGGGATCTTCCTTACAGAGCTTGTCCTGCGTGGCTTTGTCAAACAAGACCAGGTTATTGAGCTTGTCCCGGATCACTTCTGCTTTTTAGCGCTGCCCCCCCGCCCCCCCAACTTGTTCACTGGTCTTTGCCGTCCTTGGCCGACTTTCCAGTATCTTTCTTCTTCTTGTCGTCCTTGGGTGGCATCGCGGGACTTGGAGAGCAGGGATGCGCTGCTGCCTCGCCAAGATGTCGGCCCGACACCATTTTTTTTTTTCTTTTGAGGTCAGATTCTATTTTCTGAATCAAATTTCAAATTGTTGAACAGCCAGTATGTTTGGCCCACTGGAGTTATTTTGTTTCTTGACATTTTATAGGTAGCCATTGCCACACACTTAATAGAGTGCCATGTCCACTATATATCTCTTCCCTTGCTAGAGCAGTTTGTGGTGTATTAGCCTCCAGGTTTTAATCTTGGGATATATTGTTTATTTAAAGGTAAATAGCAAATCTATTTTAGTGGAAAAGAAAGAACATGTTTTTAAATTTTTATTTATTTTATCTTCTTTGTTAAGTCTCACCAGAGGATATTTTTTCCATTAAATTATAGAGTGGAAGGGAGGGGAAGAGAGAAACATTGATGTGAGAGAGAAACATAGATTGGTTGCCTCTCCTGCAAGCATCCTGATCAAGCATGCAACTCAGGTAGGTGTCCTTGACTGGGACATGGACTTCTGAGGAGGGGTGAGGCAAGTAATCTGCCTACAGTTCCTTTAAATCAAAACTAAAGAAACATTTATTTTATTTTATTTTATTTTATTATTATTTTATTATTATTATTTTTTTTTTGCTGAGGAGTTTAAAGTGCTATGAAATTAGCAATGCATACATAAACTAATTTCTGGAATAATCTGCTTTGTGTTTTTTAAAAATATATTTTTATTAATTTCGGAGAGGAGGGAGGGGGATAGAGAGATAGAAACATCAGTGATGAGAGAGAATCATTGATTGGCTGCCTCCTGCATGCCCCACACCAGGGACTGAGCCTGCAACCTGGGTATTTGCCCTGAATGGGAATAGAACTGTGACCTCCTGTTTCATAGGTCAATGCTCAACCACTGAGCCACACTAGTCAGGCTGGAATAATTTGCTTTTTAAAAAGTTTTTGGATGCTTTAAAATAATTGTATATTACAGAGTAACCTGAACTTTTTGTATAACTATAAAAAGTTATGCAAAATAACTCTCAAATAATATCACTGGGTCACATACATTTCTTCTCTCTGATCTGATTGATATCTTTCCAGGTTTTGTGTTTTCCTTTAGCTTTTTTTCTTTAATCTGGGTGATTGTAACTTTTCTGTGTTATACAGTTTTAAATATACATTCAAATCATTACAATGCCCCTTGCAAGATCAAAGCCTAAAACCCATTTGTGCCTTGCTTCATTATATGATTAAAGGACTTTATAACTGAATTTAATTAGAGAGACTAGGATGAAACCAATATAAACAGAGCAAGTAAAGCAACAGGCTCTAAAAGGAGGTCAGGGAGTAACCACAACTGCTCTGTACAGCTAAAATAGATTTCCGTACCGAGGTTCTGCTAGTAAGAGCTTGACGATTGTAGAGCTGTAATCTTTCAATTTCTTTATATATATATATATAAAGAAATTATATATATAATTATATATATATATATATATATATATACACATACATATGTATTTTAAAATATATTTTTATTGATTTCAGCAAAGAAGGGAGAGGGGGAGAGAGAGATGAGAGAGAATCGTTGATCGGCTGCCTCCTGCAGGGAAGGAGGGAATTGAGCCCGAAACCTGGGCATGTGCCCTTGACCAGAATGGAACTCAGAGCCTTTCAGTTCGCAGGCTGACATTCTATTCACTGAGCCAAAGCAGCTAGAGTTCTTTTTTTTTGGAAGTGAGTTTTTATTAGGAAAGGAAGTTGTCAACTGAAACAGCAGCAAATGAAGAGTGACTAAGGAAACCCCGTTGCAACAAAGACTTCCACCATATGTGACACAGGAGGCATTTCAACTGGTGACCGCAGCCCAGAATTGCCAAATGCTTTCCCATTCCATCTAATACATCCAGGTTCCTGCCAAAAAGGAGCACATTAAGAACATGGAAACTTGTTTACCGAAAGGAATCCCCCCAAAGAAGAGTAAGGGAGGGAACGTAGAAATTAAGACGTTATGTAAAACCCTCTTTCAATTGTAATCAACTCCATTTTGAGATCTTCACAGGAATACAAAACACAGTCACTTGCAGAACTGGTTCCGATTCCTTAAATACCAAATGCATTTTTAGTCCTCTGTTTAAGCGTTTGGAAGTTACTTGTGTTTATGTGAAATGGAGCCATTCATACTTTTCTACAGCGGTGACCGCACACCGGGAAGGCCAAGACAAACACAGATCAAGGAACCGAGTTTTCCCACAGCTGCAGTGTGAAAAGTCTACACACCGTTGAGTCCATGCACACGAATGGCTTCCTTTGCTCTAGGAAACCCACATGGAGCCAGGGATGGAGATGTGCACAAAGGCTTCTGGAGGGAGGAAGGATGGCACTCTGTCTGCGGTTAGTTTTTGGCTCCTTCAGCCTCATCACCTTCTTCTCCTGCACTGTTTGGTGTCCATAATATGAGGTTGTCTCTAAGCAACTGCAAGATGAGGATGCTGTCCTTGTGCGGGTCTTTCAGCTTATGGAGTTCTGCAACCGCCTCACCAAAAGCCGTCTTGGCCAGTGCGCAGGCAAGCTGGGCGTCATTAAGGATCTCATAGTAAAAGATAGAGAAGTTACGAGCCAGCCCCAGGTGAATGGGGTGTGTGGGCTGCAACTCTTTCTTGCTTATATCCAGAGCCTCTTGGTAAGCTCCTTGGGTATGATCTATCATCTGTTTTCGGTCATCACCAGGTGCAACTTCGGCCAGGTATCGGAAGTAATCTCCCTTCATTTTCAGATAGAAGACCTTACTCTCCGGATTCGTCGCGTGGGCTAGTAAATACTGATCCAGCAACTCCAGGACCGCGGTGCAGATGCCCCTCAGCTCGGACTCCACCGTCTCCCGGTAGTCCTTGGTCACTCGCAGCTGCTGGTCGGAGGCGGCGTCGGTCGCCTGCTCGATGCTGGAGATGACCCTCCAGGCGGCCCTGCGGCTCGCGACCACGCGCCTGTAGGCCACCCAGAGCAGGCTGCGCTCCTCCTCCGACAGCTCGGCGCCCTGCTCCGTCGCGGCCTTCATGAAGGTGGCCATGTCCTCGTAGCGCTGGGCCTGCTTGGCCAGCTTCGCCTTCTGGATCAGCTCCGTCCTCGACATGGGGACAGGGAGGAGAGCGAGGGCGATCACCGGCCGGGCTGGAGGCGTGCAGAAGGTCTGCTGCAAGGAGCGGTCAGACAGTGCACCTGCCACCTGGCCGCCCGCTGCCCTTTTTGTCTGTCCCTGCAGCGCCACCCCGTTAAATTCCCTCCCCTCTCAGGCTCCGCCCACTTGGCTTCTCCTGCCCCGCCCACACCCCGCCCACTTGAATTTCCCTCCTGAGTCCATGCTCCCTGCGGGGAGCCCAGGACATGCGGGTCTCAGGCCGTGGCGAGGCTTCTCTTTTCTTTCTTTCTTTCTTTCTTTCTTTCTTTCTTTCTTTCTTTCTTTCTTTCTTTCTTTCTTTCTTTCTTTCTTTCTTTCTTTCTTTCTTTCTTTCTTTCTTTCTTTCTTTCTTTCTTTCTTTCTCTCTCTCTCTCTCTCTCTCTCTCTCTCTTTCTTTCTTTCTCTCTCCCTCTCTCCCTCTCTCCCTCTCTCCCTCTCTCCCTCTCTCCCTCTCTCCCTCTCTCCCTCTCTCTCTCTCTCCCTCCCTCCCTCCCTCTCTCCCTCTCTCTCTCTCTCCCTCCCTCCCTCCCTCCCTCTCTCCCTCTCTCTCTCTCTTCCTCCCTCCCTCCCTCCCCCTCCCTCCCTCCCTCCCTCCCTCCCTCCCTCCCTCCCTCTCTCCCTTCCTTCCTTCCTTCCTTCCTTCCTTCCTTCCTTCCTTCCTTCCTTCCTTCCTTCCTCTTCTTTTTTTTTTTTTTAATGAATTTTATTGATTTTTTTACAGAGAGGAAGGGGAGGAAGGGAGAGGGATAGAGAGTTAGAAATATCAGAGAGAGAAACATCGATCAGCTGCCTCCTGCACACCCCCCACTGGGGATGTGCCTGCAAGGTACATGCCCTTGACAGGAATCAAACCTGGGACCTTTCAGTCCGCAGACCGACGCTCTATCCACTGAGCCAAATTGGCTAGGGCTCTTATTTCTTTCTTTAGTGAAAGCTGGTAAGTCAGTGAGAAATGTGATGAAGGGAGGAAGTTACATTTAGTACCAGTCCAAACAACTTAATTTTTTTTTTTTTTTTAGCCTTGGCCGGTTTGACTCAGTGGGTAAAGTGTCGGCCTGCGGACTGAAGGGTCCCAGGTTCGATTCTGGCCACGGGCACATGCGGGAGGCTGGAAGGGGGAGGATGCTGCAGGGTATGTGCAGGAGGCAGCCGATCAAGGGTTCTCGTCATTGATGTTTCTCTCTCTCTCTCTCTCTCCTATCCTCTCTGAAATCAATAAAGAAATATATATATAATTTTTTCCCCTAAACATCTAGTCCTCTGTGATTTGTAGGTTTTAAAATGGACAGAATCAGGATTTATAAGCATGATGTGTTTACATGAGTAATAATCATTCATAGCAGATCCGCATAAACCCTCCTAATATACCTTTCTAAAGTCCATATTTGAAACTTAACATCTTATACCATGTTTACACCATACAGATTCTTGGTTGCCCATATTGCTCATGCTGACCTTCTAAGTTGTGCTAGGATATAATACAAACATTCATACCCCCCCCCCCGCCCCCTTCCCTACCGTATTACCTACAATCTGCTAGAAGGGCAAGCTTTGTTTTCTAAGCACTTTGAAAGGAAGTGAACAGATCTAAGAAGTAAAACTGGAACAGAAAGTTAAAGGTGTAAAGAACTTCCCACCTGCCAGGACTTGGGGAGGATAGGAAGCTGAAAGTCTTAATTTTCTATTTTTTGTTTTCATACAGAAATGAAGTTTTCCTTTATCTTACTCAAAGGAATTGGTCTGGAGAAGACGAGTTTTTGGGTTATAATTTTTGGGACTAATGCAAATGTTCTGGACAACCTCCAGGCTAATGCAGCGGTTCTCAACCAGCGGCCATTTTGCTCCCCAGGGCCATTCAGTGATATCTGGAGACTTCTTTGTTTGTCACAGTGAGGGCTGGGGGCGCTACTGCCCTAGTGGGTAGAGGGCAGGGATGCTGCTAAACACCAGCAATGACAGCCCCCACAAAAAGACTTAGTGGCCCTAAATGTGAATAGTGTGAAATTGAAAAATCTTAGGTTAATAGACTGTTCTTTAATTTTTGACAGGCTTACTGTGGCATGATGTCCGATAGTGTTTAACATTTTTATTAAAGAAGTATAAGCACTAGAGGGCAGTCCCTGTCCAACAGATGAAACTGATGTTGCTTTAGCTGGGAAGTCTTAGAAGTCAAAAAGGAGCTTGTGTTTTAGCTGAGTGGCTGGAGGAGACCCTTAAGACACGATGTAAGTAATTCTAGATCAAAAGACAGTTTCAATGACTCTGTTTCTGAAGTCGGTAAAAGCAGAATTGTTTTTCCCCCTCTTCTTTTTATAATGATGCCTCTTGAACTTTTGCCAGGGAACGGGGAGAATTCACGCTAGATTTTCACACAGAGAAACACTAGCCTCATTGCCGTTAGCGTCATTTGCTCCGTGAAGCAGGTGATGGAGCGTCACTATTCCTAGGGCGTGTGGATCACTGTAACGCTGGAGGCTGTGTCTGCAACAGGGCAGCTTAGGTCAGACAGGCCACTGGACGTCAGATCGTGATTCAGCTCTTTGATTCCCTGATAGTAACCAGTTTGTTGTACGAAGGTATTTCTATTAGCTAACTATGCAAGAACACAGTACAGTTTCCTGTTTTCTCCAAGGATCAAGGATCAGTCCATTAAAAAAAAAAAAAAAAAAAGAAACTTTTTTTTTTTTTTTTTTTTTTTTTTTTAGAATGAAAGATCCAGGAGATGACCCTCTGGGCTATTTTAATAAAATTGAGCCCTAGTCCCCAAAACAGGATAAACCATTTGCTAAATGCACATGAACCCTATACAACACTTTTCATTTGTTATTAAATATTTAAGGTGTACAACATGGAATAAAGAATGAATATCCATGAACCTGCCATTCAGCTTTAAAAAAATCCAGTTGAAGCCCTCTGTGTACCCTTATCTCCCTGCCTCCCACCCTGCCATTCTGCTTGGGGAAATGAGTTTGATGTCTCATATTCCTACATATTTCCTCACACTTGTATTACATGTGTTAGTTAAGTACACGTAGCAACATATAACTGTTGTATGTCCGCATTGCTGCAAGTAGCTCCAGTTAATGACATTTACTTACCCCCCTCCTATTGTAGATATTTAGGTTGTTTTCAATTACTTGTTAATACAAATCATGATGTTATGTAGGTTCTCATATATAGCTGTCTTTGTGCATGTGTAAAAGCTCTCTGCAGCAGGAATCAGCAATCTATGCTGGTTAAAATGCTTCCCACCAGTTTTTGTATGAGAGGATATTTTTCCCATTGTTTTTCAAGGAGGGAGAGAGAAGGAGAGGGAGAGGGAGAGAAATAGAGATAGAGAGATTGGTTGCTGTTGCACAAGGGGTGAGGGGCCAAGGAGAGAATCTGCAACCTTGATACTTGCCCTTGACTGGGATTGCATGGGCTCTAACCACTGAGTGCACCGGCCAAGATGGATTTCCTTCTATTTTTTTATGGCCAAGTAGTATTTTATCGTGTAAATGTACCACAGATTTTTTTTTTTTAAATAACTTTATTATGCTGTCAATGAGCTTGGGCTCAAGTGGCATAAACTACTTATATTAATCACTTATTTTACAAAAATTAAAGATATAAAGATAAATTTTCTGTAAAATGTATATAGGACTTACCAATGTGTAGTAAAAGCATGATTTTGGAGAAAAAATGCTTTTGGGAATATCTACTGCTCCAACTATTTTCCTAAAGTTGCCAATAGAGTTAACTGTATATAAGATTTTTTAAAAATTACTTTATCTAGGTGAAATTCACATGAAAAGATTTATATATTCAAATTCTGGAAAGCTATACAGTTTGATTTGGAAAGGATGGATGGGGCTGTGCACCTTTATTTTTTTGTACTCCCAAACCTGAAGAGCGCCTTACTGTTAATTCTAGTGCTCAGGGACTGACGTTTATTCTTTTTTATTATTATTTATTTTAAAATATATTTTATTGATTTTTTTACAAAGAGGAAGAGAGAGGGATAGAGAGCTAGAAACATCGATGAGAGAGAATCATTGATCAGCTGCCTCTTGCACACCCCCTGCTGGGGATGTGCCCACAACCAAGGTACATGCCCCTGACCAGAATCGAACCCGGGACCTTTCAGTTCGCAGGCTGACGCTCTATCCATTGAGCCAAACCAGTTTTGGCCTGACTTTTATTCTTATTTTATTTTTAAAATTAATGCTTTCTATGGCTGCAAACTTTTCTCCAGCAGCTGAATACAGATTTCTGGACACTTTCACGTTTCTTCTTTCTTTGTCATTTTATTTTTTCTTTTTATTCTTTGTCATTTTAAAAGAGCCTGCTTGCTTCCTCTCTTTGTCCCTGTGTAGACCCAAGTGCAGACTAGAACATGCCAGGCAAGACAACGGCACATGCGGTTTCTCTTTGTGAAGAATTTGATGGACAAATGGCACAGGGTTCACTGTGCTCGCCGGCTGAGCGTTGAACTTCCACTTTAGGGAACAAGCGAAGCAGTGTGGCCGCCTGAAAGGCTTCTTTGACACAACAGCCTGGAGGCCCTTGTACCACGTTGTCTGGTATGCAATGCCCTTCGGAGACCAGCCCTCAAGATTCCCACACCCCCAGCTCCCCCAGAGCTTAAAGAGTTAGCTCTCTCTCCCATTATGCTTGGTGTCCTAAGTGGCATCCGTGAAAAGGGGTTTGTTTTTGTTGATCTTCTGCCTTTGGGTGTCAGTCAGCGACTTACCCAATCTTACTCAGTGGGAACACTGGTGTCTGCGCAGTAGGACGGATCAGTGGTTCAGCACACGGTTCCTTTCTGAACTGGAAGCTCACTCAGCGCTGCAGCCAAAGGGAGGAGTAGGGTGGAGGAAATAAGGCAAATCGGAAGCTGATGATTTAAATCATTACACATTTCTCCGTTTTCTTGAAGGCTGATCTGGAGAGGTTTCCGTGTATGCTGGGGG